ACAAAACCGGCCGCAAGACCGACCCCTGGGGCACTCCACTTGACACCGGCTGCCAACTAGACATGGAGCCATTGATCACTACCCGTTGAGCCCGACAATCTAGCCAACTTTCTACCCACCTTATAGTGCATTCATCCAGCCCATACTTCTTTAACTTGCTGACAAGAATACTGTGGGAGACCGTGTCAAAAGCTTTGCTAAAGTCAAGAAACAATACATCCACTGCTTTCCCTTCATCCACAGAACCAGTAATCTCATCATAGAAGGCCATTAGATTAGTCAGGCATGACCTTCCCTTGGTGAATCCATGCTGACTGTTCCTGATCACTTTCCTCTCGTGTAAGTGCTTCAGGATTGATTCTTTGAGGACCTGCTCCATGATTTTTCCATTGGCTGGGGTCCATTTTGGAGGAGGGTACTGGAGACTGGGTGGGCCAGAGTATGGGCTGAGAGGAAGGGCCCCATCCAGCCCCATGGCAATGAGGTGGAAAGATAATACAGCTCTTCCTGGAGTCTGGGGGGAGGGGGAAGGGGGCTATTGCAGCCCAAGGGAGACCCTTGTAGAGCTCCAATGGAGCTGTGCCTTTGTGGAGCTAGGGGTTAGAGCTGGCATATAAGCTAAGGCCTTCTCACTGATAGCCCTGGGGTCCTCTGTGGAGCAGCGTATCGCAGGCTGGACCAGCCCCCGCTGTGCTCTCTCACTGACTTATGCAGAAAAATACCCAGAAGGATGAAGCAGCTACCAAACCCCACCCAGTTTATTGTGTATGTTCACTGCTCACCCTGTGTGGGGCTCATTGCTATATGAAGGCTTTACACACCTCAGTCCCATTAGCGCTTAGTCCACAGCAGCACAGACATTCCCTATCTGTGCCAATCATCGGGAGAATGTCTTTATGTAACCCTTCCTTGGCCCTGGGCACCTTACATTACCCTCTAACCAGTGGAATAATCCCATACCGGAATATAGAGTGTTAACACATTCCCATGTTAATCCTGTTCCCTTCAGAACTAAATCTTTAAAGGAGCCAGCTATCCCACATACCTGGGACAGGCTCTGCTGAAGGGAATGAGCAACCCAGATCCGCCTGGGGATAGGTTAACTGCTGAGGCAGCTTGAAGACAGTTAGTTAAGCAAGGTTTCAGAGGAACAGCCGTGTTAGTCTGTATTCGCAAAAAGAAAAGGAGTACTTGTGGCACCTTAGAGACTAACCAATTTATTTGAGCATGAGCTTTCGTGAGCTACAGCTCACTTCATCAGATGCATATCGTGGAAACTGCAGCAGACTTTATATACACACAAGGAGCACCTGAACCTGATAAAAGGCACAAGAGAGCTTAGGTGGAAGCTCCTGAGGAGAAAGGGGAGCTCCCAGGAGCCTGAACTAGGAAGAAGGGATGCCCCTAAAGGCAGGGAGATAGGAGCACCACTTCCGCTTGGCTCAAGGGCAGAGAGAGAAAGGATTGCAGAGCTCTCCAGGCAGGGAGGCCAGGGAGAGAGCCTGAGCAAGCAGGGGAAACACTACAGAGCTGCCCAGCCCGCAGGGAAGCCTGTGGCCTTACACCAGAAGGAACTGTTGCTGTCACTCAGGGACTTCTGGTTTGGAACTTAAGTTTTATCTGTGCTCTGGCTTAAAAGGGGCTCCTTTCAGAAGGCTTTATTAAAGGGACATCTGTGTAGAGTATTTGACTTCTTAATCAGGCTGTTAAAGGGACCTCATTGTTACCTCATTGACACAGCACCCGAGCTTTGGTTTCTATTGCAAAGCTGCCCTGTTTCCCTTACCATGTCTGCACCAGACATTAACAGTTGATTTAAAAACTACAGCTGCTCTATGAGTCTTAATGGGCTGCAGAGCAGGCAGCCGAGAGCCAGTTGCTGAGAGCAGGGCTACACTTAACACCCTGTAGCTGTAAGCACTGTAATAAAGATGCTCCTACACCGCAGGACAGAACTCGGCCACTGGCACTGCTAATGTACCGCCGTGAGAGGCTGTAAAAGGCTTGCCGACATAACGCTGTCTACACGTGGTGGTAAGGTCAGTATAACTATGTTGCTCAGAGATGTGGATTTGTCACTTGGGGGTGTGAAAGTTATCCCATTGTTAAGTCTGTAGTGGAGGCAGACTTGAAAGGCACTGAGGCCCAGATTCCCCCATTGAATTCTGTAGGAGTTAGATGCCGAAACACCTTGGTCCGAGTGCCTCCTTGTGAGTGGTCTACACCCTGCAGGCTTGAGCCATTAGTACATCAAACTGAAAAGTCACCTTGTTTAGTCTTTTGCACCTTTCTTGGGAGGATCTCAAATCACTTGAATATTAGTTATCACCCCACTTTTTCCACAGAAGGACAAATGGAGACACAGAACATCAAGGGGCTTGGCAGTGGCCACACAGCAAAGGAGTGGCAGAGTCAAGAATTGTGCCTCAAAGTCCTGACCCCCCCCCCCTTAAGTGTTGCCAACCCCAAATATTCAACAGCTGTGAGTCAGGCCCCCCCACATCATGAGATTTTAAAATAAATACATGGATGTGTGTGTGTAGTACTTGCCTTCTGCTTTTTGAATTATTAGGGAGCACTTGGGTCCTTTTTTCAAGCTTTTCTTCACCGTTTCAAGGACTGGATATTTATTTTTTAAATGAACGATGAGATTGTTCACCTAATCACATGACTCCAGGGGCTTTAGAAAAGACACCAAGTATCACAAGACTCAAAGCCACAGGAACTGGGAATGCTGCATTCTTGGGCTCTAACCAGCAGACCACACTCCAACAGATCCAATGACCGAGCCTAAGTTACTAAACCTGTGCTGTAGCCAACACCAGTTCATCGCAGATATGCTTTCCGCAGAGTTCAGTGTGCCTGTGAGGGCCCAGGCCCATCTCTAGTTCCTCTGACAATCAGGATCAGGCCTTCACTTCTGTCAACAGCTGAGCTTTTAAAATTCTGAGGCTTTAGGGACCCCTAGTGGATGGAGTGAGGCCTCAGAACCTCTTAGAATTAGGCCACTTTTATTTAGGAGCCTAACTAGAGACTATGGGGACAGATTCTCAGCTAGTGTAAATTAACATAGCTCATTGATTTCACGGGAGGGACAGCAATTTACATCAGTTAAAGATTTGGCCCTTAGTTGCCTAACTTTAGGCTCTCAAGTTTGAAACCGTGGGCTAGAGGACAAGCCTGTCCTGGCAAGAAGGAGTGGGTGACTTGGTAGATCTTTGCATTCTTTAACCTCAGTCTATACGACTATTAAAAAATATTTTTTTATGGGATCTACAACTGGATGGATCCTGTTTTTCCTTTTAAACTGGCATATTTTAAAATCTTTGAGTGCTGGTAATCAGTAAGCATATTTATTTACGAATACTGGGCCAGATCTTCAGCGGATATAAATTGGCATAGATAGCACCAGTGAAATCGATGGCATTATGCTGATTTATACTAGCTGAGGATCTGGCCCATGAAGAGCACCTGTGCTAGGAAATCACAGGGAAGATTGCTTTGAGAAGAGCACTGTGTCTTTAAATAACTGAGAAAACCTCAAAAGAATGGATGTAATAAAAATTCCAAGAGAATCCTTGCAGGAGATATTTTGGGGACTTGCTGGAGTCATTCATGCAGTGGTTTTGTTATTGTCAGTGAGACCAATCCAATCCAATGCATACAATTCATGTTCATCTGTAAAATTCTTTCCCAGATTAGGACTAAATTTATTAGCCCACTCTTAACACCACAAAGAGAAGGGAGTAACTAACGAGTCAAGCGAAAACAGGATACTGGGATACCATAAGTAAAGAAGAGGCTGTCCAATATGAAAAGGATACCCTTCAAATACAGGACACCATAGAATGCCTCCTAGCACTCCTGTGAAGTGTTGTTATTCCCATTTCACAGATGGGGAAATAAAGACAAAGAAATTCAGTGACTTGCCCAAGGAAGCACTGAATCAAGAATAGTACATACCCAGCCTTCTGCTCTAAACACTACACAACACTTTATTTTCCATTTGTTTCAGTGGGTTTAATTAATGGAGTCCAGGTGGGGCTCATTTCTCCCATGAATTTGGTATCCATATTTTCAAGTGCGTTAGCTCCACTGGGCTGCTTCCCTTTCATCTGCCACTTAAAGATCATTTGGAGGGTTTGTTGGATAGCAACTTAATCTATTGGCTAAGGCACCGCATTGGGAGTCAGGGGACACAAGTTCTATTCCTGGCTCTGATCACAGGCATTTCACCTCTTTGTGCCTCTGTTTCCTTCCCACCCCTCATCTGCCTGCTCTATTTAGACTGTAACTCTTTAAGGCAGGGATTGTCTGATAGCGTATATTTGAACAGGGGCTAGCACCATAGGGCTCCAATCTCAGCTAGGCCCTCACCACACTACTGTAATACAATCCTCAAAAAGTGAGAGTCTCTTCAAGATGGCTAAAAATAAATCCTCTTCACCAGCTGAAAATATGGTTTGCCAGTGTCTGTTCTAACACAGTGAAGTCTAGGACCACCTGCTAATACAGATTTTGACTAGATATATTATTCTGTCATCTCATCATTCCCCCCCCCCCCCCGAATCTAGACAAACTTCCAACTCTCTCTCGGCCTCAGCTTAATAAAATGTATCTGGTTTGCTGATCACTTGTGAGACACATCTTTGTTGAGTCTCAAGTTCTAGATATGTATATGGGTTTCAAGGTTACTCAACTCTGCCGTTGCTGGCAAGCTATGTGCAAATGTAATGAATTAGGACAAAAGGGGAAATCATTACTCTATGCAGCCTTCACGTCTTGCATCAGCTTTTCAGACACCAGCTTTTCCAGTTTTTTTTTTTTTTTTGGGGGGGGGGGGGGAAGGGGGCAGGAAAACTCAGTTCCAAACAGCAGTTATCCTCATGGCCATTTTCTTATCTGGTCATTGAAAGATAACGTGACCTATGAAATTCCTGCTTTAAGGTCAAGTTCTGAAATTTAGTTAAGGATCATTTTGGGGGAGGTCCAGTTTGCAAATACAGACCCAATGCTGACTCTGAACAGATTACTAAACAGATTTTGAGACCTGCAGAGGCTCAGTGGTGTGATTAGCTGGAAATAGAGGAGTGTCTTTAGCTGGTAATACACACCCCTTCCTTCCACTGTTAAAAACCACCTGTCACCTGTGCTCCTTTCACTCTCATAACAATCAAGCAGCCTGAAAGGCTTCAGCGCCATCAGCCAGCATCCCTGTTAAGACCTGCAGAAGCCAGATTCAGAGCCGGAGAAGCTGTCTGACCACAGCCATGGAAGAGTACTTCTCTGCCATCCACAAGATGGAACAAGCGGTTATGTTTCCCAGCCTCCTCAGAGGCGTCTACATGGAACAGCAGGATGACACATCCACTGGTGATTTTGGCAACAGGGACCTGTATGAGTATTACATCCAACTGAAATCCATCAAACTTACAGTGGAGGGTAGACTGGAGCCTCTAAATGAAAGCAAACACCAAATCACCAGCAGAGAGGAAGTACAAGAGAACGAAGAAGAGGCCGATCTTGAAGAACTGCTTTATCATCACTTTACAGGCTTGTATCGTGTCCTGACCCATCTGACCAGAAAAGCCAATGCCCTGACCAGAAAATACAATGAAATTATAGGACAGATCAACCAGAGTGAAATGACGCATACCTGGTGAAACATCCACCAATAACTTCAAAAGGTGAGACCTCATATGTTACATCTCTGTTGAAGTTTTCTGAGATGCCAAATAGTGTCCACTCCCCTTTCTCCAAAATCTAAGTGATTATCAGTCTAGTTTAACTGATAATTATGTGATCACCACCTAGAAACAGCAGGACCCACAGGTTCAAATCCTAGCAGGGGGGGATTAATCACTTTCTTCCAGGTAGATAAATTGCGCTGAATCCATTTTACTAAATGTGGGTCTTTTACTTGCCTCTTAAAAATCATTTAAAAGAGGGATTTACTTATTTGTTTTAAGGCAGACACTTCACATTGTCCACCAACTTTCAGATGAGACCTTAATAACTACGGTTCTCTCTCTGTGTGCAGAGAAGAGAGCACAGAACACTTGTAGTAAGACTAGTCTTTTGGCTGAGGATCCTTGGGAGTGCCATATATTGGGGACCCTACTGGCTACTGTATAGTGCTGCTATACATCCTGTAGTTGGCAGAGTGCTTTGGGGTGAAAGCTGCTCTATAAAGATGACATTAATTTTTCTGACATTAGAAAAATACAAGTACTTGAAATTCTGCTTCAAGTTTGAAATTAACTGATCAGTGAAAAGTTCAAATGCTTCCTTCAATGACAAGCTCTTGGAGGGAGGGACTGTATTTTGTGCATGTGTCCGCATGCTCTTGTACAGCACTAGTACAAAGATTTTGATTCAGGCCTCTAGGGACTCTCACAATGTATGTGGTTAATAGGAACAGAGCTATGCTCCAGGGGGAAACCTCATCTCCTGTACTTCTTGTAATAAATGGAGGGTTAATGGGGGTTAGTATGTGGCAAAGACTTAAGAAAAACAGTACTTTGTACTTTAAAAAGTTAGGTATGATTCAAGCACTGGAACCTAGAAATGCCCTCCTGTGTTGGCTATTTTGAATGACAATACATGCAGTACCAAAATCAGTACTTCCTCAAACACGTACATCGAAGAGAACATGCCAAAATTGCTAACTATTTTGTGATTATCCCACAGGACAAACTACCACCCCTGTGCTGCATACAGTTGACATCGTGCGGCAAGAACAACTGGTGAATTACTTGACTGACACCAAAGATGCTGGCCATCTGATCGCCAATGGTTTTGTAATAAGCAGAATAAATGTGATCATTCCTTGCTGTAACATGAACTCATTGTCCATCTCAAATACATCACGTGCATGTTAATTTTCAACTACCTGGGCAAAAATCATTGTATTATGCTGCTGCTGCTGTGTGAGGTGAAAATCATGGGTAAGGTAATCCTCTTTTCTTACTTGTAACTGTACTTTTAAAAGAGGGCTGCTTCCACCCACTACTTGGTAATAAAACATCACAAACTGAAATGACCTTTTAAGTTTGTTTGGTTTCTTAAAAAACCTGGCCTAATAAAGCCAATTCTTGAGCAATATCAAACCTATCTTCCGCTTGCTATGCTAGCTGCCCATTGAATACCATGTCAAAGTCAAGATTTTGGTCCTTATCTTCAAGGCATCACTGGTTCAGGCCCAGGATACCTGAAAGATCAGAGAGAGTTCAAAGATGAGGAACTAAGTCCATAGCTCCACTCCTCAGGCACATGTAACTTTGTACCTCAAGCATAAAGGCTGCTGGTGAAGGAGACAGGGTTTTCTCAAGGGCTGGTCCAAGGCTATGGAATGAACTCCCCAAGGAGCTAAAAACTTCACCAACCTCACCATGTTCCACTCCAAGCATAAAGGTGCATGTTTTCAATCTGCTTCTCTAACACCCACAGAGCACAGGGGATGTAACACATTAAATTACTTATTAAAAAACCCACTCAATTTCTCCTTTTAGAGAAGAGGAGGGAAAGAAAAAATGACATGTGATGATTGCTAGTCATGACTTCAAGGGGGTCAGCATTTTACTCATGGGAGTTTTTCCTCTCCCTACACCAGTGAAGTCATGGGCAGCCAATGACCCAGCCACTGGGGGAGGCTAGCCCCTGGCCCCTCCCCTTCTACCTGAGGCCTGCCCCTCCTGTACCCCCTCCTCCCACAGGAGCCCAGAGCACCCCACTGTGGCTCCCAGCCCCAGTGCACCGGGCAGCGCAGCAGCCCCAGCCCCAGTGCACCGGGCAGCACAGCAGCAGTGCCCCCAGTCCCGGAGTGCCAGATGGCCGGCGTGACCCCAGTGCCAGCTGCCCCAAGTCCCTGCGGCAGGCTGGCCAGCCCCAGCCCCATCCAGGGCAGAGCACTGGGAACTGCAGGAGGACTCCTGGGGCAGAGCATGGGCAGGACCACGCCAGGCTGTGTAGGGAGGCACAGCCTCCCGCATCCTATGATACCCGCCACCCATTAGTGAAGGTCAGGTTGTCTGGGAATGAGGCAGGAGGGGAAACACTTTAGCTCTTGGGAAGAAAGGTGATGACTGCTTCCAGCAGAAAGCACAGTGCTAGTTGATTCAGATAAGTGTTACTGGCAGATCTACTACAGGATATTTGTCCACTCTCCTGGGTGCAGGATAAACCTATTGTTCACTAACAGCTTTAGCTGGCTGCTTGTACAAAACATACCACAACAGACAAATGGGATAGTCAAAGGAAGGGAATAAAAATACGGGGTTTCAATCACTTAACAAAAAGTATGCCCCCTCCCTTTCCCCTGCCATGTTTTAAACAGAGCCAATGTACGCCTTGCTGATTTCACCATTTGTTACTTGTCAGTTGGTTTGCTTCTATAAACTCCCAAACTACTGTACATTGCACTGTATACCCCGGCTTTTGGGTTGTGCATCATAATTGTCTGATCTCAACACAGCTCTGGGAATGTTGTTTGTTCACTGCTAGGGCAGAGGCACAACAATTGTTGCAGATCACATGGAAGAAAGTGGTTCTGCTTTCCCATTAGGTGGTCACTGCACGGTAGTTATTATACAATAACCCATATTCCTTCTTACCCAGCATATTTATCATTCAAAATATTCCCCCCTCAAAGTAATGTTTAGAAGGTAGAGAAAATGAACAAAGTATTTTAGTCTCAAAATTTAAAAGTCACTTTTAAGCAGAAACAGTGATGGAGGCAACCTGATTAAGGAAGGTTAATCAAGTCTCTGCCACGTGTCCTCTGGAGGCAGGAAAGATTACTGACATGTTACACTGGAGCTAAGCGACAAAAGCAGAGGGCATGCTACCTCAGCAGAGATCAAACTGTAATGGCTCCTCTAGGCAAGAGGCATTCTGAAGATTAATTTCAGACACTGCAGGAAGTAAAGGCAGTGCCTTAGATAAGATTGCTGTACGTTGGGATTTAGTAGCGTTGGAGTAATTTGTTAACAGCACATCTTGGGAAACCAATTTGAGAGATTAGTTTATCAAGTGGTGTTCCCACTAAGTCTTTCCTAGATCAGGCATTATTCAGTATTTTCATTAACTATGTGGCTGATGGAGTGGACAGTACACTTATAAAATCTGCAGGTGACACCACACTGGGAAGGGTTACATGTGCTTTCGAAGACAGGATTAGAATTCAAAATGATCTTGATAAATTGGAGAGTGGGTCTGATATCAATAAGCGGAAAGTCAATAAAGACAAGTGCAAAGTACTACACTTAGGAAGGAAAAATGGGGAATAACGGGCTTTGCAGCAGTACTGCAGAAAAGGATCTGGGGGTTCTAGTGATCACAAATGGAACATGAGTCAACAGTGTGATGCTGTTGAGAAAAAGGCAAATGTCATTCTGGGCTGTATTAACAGGAAGACTTGGGAGGTAACTGTCCCACTGTACTTGGCACTGGTGGGGTCCAGGTGAGAGCAACAAAAATGATAAGAGGTTTAGAAAACATGATCTATGAGGAAAGGCAGAAAGAATTTGGAATGTTTAGTCTAGAGAAGTGAAGGATGAGAGGGGACCTGATAACAGTCTTCAAATATGTAGAAGGTTGTTATAAAGAGGATTGTGACCAATTGCTTTCCACATACAAGGGAAGGACAAGAAGTAATCAGCTTAATTTGCAGAAAGGAAGATTTAGGTTAGATATTAAGATAATCGTTCTAATGATTAGGATAGTTACCTAGGGAGGCTACGAAATCCCCATCTCTGGAGGTTTTAGAGAACAGATTAGACAAACACCTGTCAGGGATGGTGTAGGTATACTTAACCCTGCTTCAGTGTGAGGAGATGGACTAGAACAGACAACCACTTGAGGTCCCTTCCAGTCCAACATTTCCAGGATTCTATACATGGATGAAGAAAAGTTGGAACAGTAACAGCAGCAAAATAAAAGGTTTAAATACAGCAACAAATTCTGCACCAAACAAGGGTCATGAGCTTAAAGAATGGCCCAAAAGTTATAAACCAGGATGTGTGCCAAGGGCATGAGAGAGCAGTTTGTGCAAACTTGGAAAAGCTTATTCAGGAGTTAAACTTTAACTAATTTTTCAGATATTTGTCTTGGATCTCAACTCAATAATGAGGAAAGAGACTGGGTCACACCACCCTATAGGTCAACAACTTTGTTTCAATGTCTAATTTTAGAGACATCTGTATTTAGGCATTTAAATAAGTGGCCTGATCTTCAGAGATGCTGAGCCCCTGCAATTCCCACTGAAGTTGAGGAATTGTGGATACTCAGCATCTCTGGGGAAAAGAAAAAACAACAAACGTTGGTGCCTAGATATGGATTTGTGGGCCTAACTTTAGGCACCAAAGCTGGAAAAATTTGGATCCAAGTAATAACAACAGAGAGAAAGCAAGTGGAGAATAGGATCCTAAAGGGGATCAAGTATGGATGCCTTGTCAATACTGCGTTCTCTCTCAGCCAGTATGGAAACCCTTCCTAGCAAGGCTAACTTTGGCCCCAATCCTGCAATGAGCTCCGCATAGGCAAGGCCACAGTGTGACCAAGACTCAAAGAATGCGTTAACAATAACAGAAGGCAGGGATTAAATTTCGCTCTCAGGAAGAAGGGGACCTGTATTTTCCTCTACATCAACAGACTAGTAACTGACCTCCACGATTTTCTTTGGTACAGTAGTTCTCATTTCACAATAGTTAACAGGCAACTCAAAACTAACATTTAAATAGAATAAAAGAGCTAAATGCATTGCAAAATACTGAGATAAATATTAACAACAAATGGAACACACTAATTATTCATAGTTTTAATTATAAGAATACAGTAAGTGTGGTTTTTTTGTTTTGTTTTTCAACCAGTGGCATTTGAACAATAACTGACATACAGTCTGCTCAAATATATTTGGGAGTGGTCTCACGAAACACGATCTGGTGAACAAGTCTGTAGTTCTTGAGAAGTTTTCAGCGAATTGGATGGAAGTCCTCCAGTACCTCAGCTAGGATTTTCTTATCTACAAAAGGTAATCAAGTACAATTACGAAAGCTTATTCAGCATTTAGAGAGGGTTTGTTATTGATCAATAATCAGTAAATCAGAACATTTGCTACAGGCCAGATCCAAAGTCATCTGAAGTTAATGGGATCCTGTCTTTCATTAACTCCAGTGGGTTTTGGATCAGGCTTTACTACAGTAGCACTTTGCTTCACAAACTAAACATTCCTCTCTCCCCTTCCCAGTGAAGGTTTAGTAGCAGAGCCCTATAAAGAGGTCTCACTATCAAGAACTTCATTACTTCTACAGAATATTTACTGGCACATAATGGAAAAGCATAACTAAACTCCACTTAACCAAATATATTTTGCTAGGCAGTAAACTTGAGTCCCTCTTCCCATCATTGCTAATTTTCTAAAATTCAGTCACCATGGCTCTCTCAGGCAAAGCTAGTTAGCAAGATTCTATTGTACTATGGAGCCATAACGTTTCTACTAAGGCTTATTTCACCTGGCATGTTTGTCGATAAAGTGAACGTTGCAATCTAGGTAAATTGAGGATTACTGCTCCTGGCCAAATGAAGAATGTTGCACTTAATTCAATGGACTTTGAATCAGGCTTTTAATACCCAGAGATTGGGGAGGAAGTAATCAGGCTAAACTCCACTTAATATCTGATTCGGCTGGGAAATGAAGAAACCCTCTGAAGTGGCAGTTTTCCCCTCTGCTTGACAGGCAGGTTTTGGTGAACATGGCTAGCAGAAGATGGGGTTGTGTTAAGTGGGAAGGAAAATAAAACTATGGCAAAAGGTATGTCTTGAAAAAGTTATAGGAGGAGTTAAAACACCCCTATCGTCTCCATGACCCTTCAGAAAGGAGAAAACTCAGAATAGGTCTGTCACTAGCTTGATACCTTTTACTTTTGTCACACACACACACACACACACACACTGGCACCCTAGTGACTAATCAAGAGCTAAGTTTCCATTCTTGCAAACAAATGTAATTCGCCGGGAAAACGGAGAAGTCTGCTGCTTGCCAGGGGCTAAGATTTGTGATGTGACGGAGAGACTGCCGAGACTCATCAAGCCCTCGGATCGCTACCCCTTCCTGCTTCTCCATGTGGGCACCAATGATACTGCCAAGAATGACCTTGAGCAGATCACTGCGGACTACGTGGCTCTGGGAAGAAGGATAAAGGAGTTTGAGGCGCAAGTGGTGTTCTCGTCCATCCTCCCCGTGGAAGGAAAAGGCCTGGGTAGGGACCGTCGAATTGTGGAAGTCAACGAATGGCTACGCAGGTGGTGTCGGAGAGAAGGCTTTGGATTCTCTGACCATGGGATGGTGTTCCATGAAGGAGGAGTGCTGGGCAGAGACGGCCTCCATCTTACGAAGAGAGGGAAGAGCATCTTCGCGAGCAGGCTGGCTAACCTAGTGAGGAGGGCTTTAAACTAGGTTCACCGGGGGAAGGAGACCAAAGCCCTGAGGTAAGTGGGAAAACGGGATACTGGGAGGAAGCACAGGCAGGAACGTCTGTGAGGGGAGGGCTCCTGCCTCATACTGGGAATGAGGGGCGATCAGCAGGTTATCTCAAGTGCTTATATACGAATGCACAAAGCCTTGGAAACAAGCAGGTAGAACTGGAGGTCCTGGTGATGTCAAGGAATTATGACATGATTGGAATAACAGAGACTTGGTGGGATAACTCACATGACTGGAGTACTGTCATGGATGGTTATAAACTGTTCAGGAAGGACAGGCAGGGCAGAAAAGGTGGGGGAGTAGCACTGTATGTAAGGGAGCAGTATGACTGCTCAGAGCTCCGGTACGAAACTGCAGAAAAACCTGAGTGTCTCAAGTTTAGAAGTGTGAGCAACAAGAGTGATGTCGTGGTGGGAGTCTGCTATAGACCACCGGACCAGGGGGATGAGGTGGATGAGGCTTTCTTCCGGCAACTCGCAGAAGCAACTAGATCACATGCCCTGGTTCTCATGGGTGACTTTAAATTTTCCTGATATCTGCTGGGAGAGCAATACAGCGGTGCATAGACAATCCAGGAAGTTTTTGGAAAGCGTAGGGAACAATTTCCTGGTGCAAGTGCTAGAGGAGCCAACTAGAGGGGGAGATTTTCTTGACCTGCTGCTCACAAAGTGGGAAGAATTAGTGGGGGAAGCAAAGTGGATGGGAATCTGGGAAGCAGTGACCATGAGTAGGTTGAGTTCAGGATCCTGACACAGGGAAGAAAGGGTAGCAGCAGGATACGGACCCTGGACTTCAGGAAAGCAAACTTTGACTCCCTCAGGGAACGGATGGGTAGGATCCCCTGGGGGAATAACATGAGGGGGAAAGGAGTCCAGGAGAGCTGGCTGTATTTCAAGGAATCCCTGTTGAGGTTACAGGGACAAACCATCCCGATGAGTCGAAAGAATAGTAAATATGGCAGGCAACCAGCTTGGCTTGACGGTGAAATCCTAGCGGATCTTAAACATAAAAAAGAAGCTTACAAGAAGTGGAAGGTTGGACATATGACCAGGGAAGAGTATAAAAATATTGCTCGGGCATGTAGGAATGAAATCAGGAGGGCCAAATCGCACCTGGAGCTGCAGCTAGCAACAGATGTTAAGAGTAACAAGAAGGGTTTCTTCAGGTATGTTGGCAACAAGAAGAAAGCCAAGGAAAGTGTGGGACCCTTACTGAATGAGGGAGGCAACCTAGCGAAAGAGGATGTGGAAAAAGCTAATGTACGCAATGCTTTTTTTGCCTCTGTCTTCACGAACAAGGTCAGCTCCCAGACTGCTGCGCTGGGCATCACAGCATGGGGAGTAGATGGCCAGCCCTCTGTGGAGAAAGAGGTGGTTAGGGACTATTTAGAAAAGCTGGACGTGCACAAGTCCATGGGGCTGGACGAGTTGCATCCGAGAGTGCTAAAGGAATTGGCGGCTGTGATTGCAGAGCTGTTGACCATTATCTTTGAAAACTCGTGGCGAATGGGGGAAGTCCCAGATGACTGGAAAAAGGCTAATGTAGTGCCCATCTTTAAAAAAGGGAAGAAGAAGGATCCTGGGAACTACAGGCCAGTCCGCCTCACCTCAGTCCCCGGAAAAATCATGGAGCAGGTCCTCAAAGAATCAATCCTGAAGCACTTACATGAGAGGAAAGTGATCAGGAACAGTCAGGATTCACCAAGGGAAGGTCATGCCTGACTAATCTAATCGCCTTCTATGATGAGATTAATGGTTCTGTGGATGAAGGGAAAGCAGTGGATGTATTGTTTCTTGACTTTAGCAAAGCTTTTGACACAGTCTCCCACAGTATTCTTGTCAGCAAGTTAAAGAAATATAGGCTGGATGAATGCACTATAAGGTGGGTAGAAAGTTGGCTAGATTGTCGGGCTCAACGGGTAGTGATCAAGGCTCCATGTCTAGTTGGCAGCCGGTGTCAAGTGGAGTGCCCCAGGGGTCGGTCCTGGGGCCGGTTTTGTTCAATATCTTCATAAATGATCTGGAGGATGGTGTGGATTGCACTCTCAGCAAATTTGCGGATGATACTAAACTAGGAGGAGTGGTAGATACACTGGAGGGCAGGGATAGGATACAGAGGGACCTAGACAAATTGGATGATTGGGCCAAAAGAAATCTGATGAGGTTCAATAAGGATAAGTGCAGGGTCCTGCACTTAGGACGGAAGAACCCAATGCACAGCTACAGACTAGGGACCGAATGGCTAGGCAGCAGTTCTGCGGAAAAGGACCTAGGGTTGACAGTGGACGAGAAGCTGGATATGAGTCAGCAGTGTGCCCTTGTTGCCAAGAAGGCCAATGGCATTTTGGGATGTATAAGTAGGGGCATAGCCAGCAGATCGAGGGACGTGATCGTTCCCCTCTATTCGACATTGGTGAGGCCTCATCTGGAGTACTGTGTCCAGTTTTGGGCCCCACACTACAAGAAGGATGTGGATAAATTGGAGAGAGTCCAGCGAAGGGCAACAAAAATGATTAGGGATCTGGAACACATGACTTATGAGGAGAGGCTGAGGGAACTGGGATTGTTTAGTCTGCAGAAGAGAAGAATGGGGGGGGGTGATTTGATAGCTGCTTTCAACTACCTGAGAGGCGGTTCCAAAGAGGATGGTTCTAGACTATTCTCAGTGGTAGAAGAGGACAGGACAAGGAGTAATGGTCTCAAGTTGCAGTGGGGGAGGTTTAGGTTGGATATTAGGAAAAACTTTTTCACTAAGAGGGTGGTGAAACACTGGAATGCGTTACCTAGGGAGGTGGTAGAATCTCCTTCCTTAGAATTTTTTTAAGGTCAGGCTTGACAAAGCCCTGGCTGGGATGATTTAATTGGGGATTGGTCCTGCTTTGAGCAGGGGGTTGGACTAGATGACCTCCTGAGGTCCCTTCCAACCCTGATATTCTATGATTCTAATCTATAATGAGTGCACACAAAGCCTGAATCACAGAGAAGTAGTCTATGGTTCACTATGTTAATCTAAGTACAATTTCCAGCCTGCCTCTAATGGGATCACAGTGGGTTCATTAGCCATTTCTCATCAGTTTCTGAAAAGAATGGTCACAGCTGCACACTAACTGCCCTCCTTTCCTACCTCTATGCCAACAGTTTTAGACTGCATGAGGAGACAATATTCCAGAACTATTAAAATTATAGCAGTGGAACAAAGTTGAAGCCATGGGACGATCAAGATGCTAAAAGAGTACTTGAGGGGGATAAGGCCATTGTGGAGAAACTGAATGAATTCTTTGCATCAGTATTCATAGCTGAAGATGTGAGGGAGAATCCTCATCCTGAGCCATTCTTTTTAGGTGACAAATCTGAGGAACTGTGAGACTGAGGTGTCAGAGGAGGTTTTGGAACAAATTGATAAATTAAAAAGTCTCCAGGGCCAGATGGTATTCACCCAAGAGGTCTGAAGGAACTCAATGTGGAATTGCAGAACTACTAACTGGTAGTCTGTAACCTATCATTTAAATCAGCTTCTGCACCAAATGACTGGAGGATAGCTAAAGTGATGCCAATTTTTTAAAAAAGCCTCCAGAGACAATCCTGGCAATTACAGGCCAGTGAGCCTAACTTTGGTACCGGGCAAATTGGTTGAAACTATAACAAAGAACAGAATTATCAGACACGTAGATGAACACAATTTGTTGGGAAAGAGTCAACATGATTTCTGTAAAAGGAAATCATGCCTCACCAATCTACTAAAATTCTTTGAGGGGGTAAACAAGCATGTGGACAAGGGGGATCCAGTGGATATAGTGTACTTAGATTTTCAGAAAAGCATGGTAAATATTCATGGTAAATAAGCTCAATGGCCTGTGATGGGATGTTAGATGGGGTAGGATCTGAGTTACTACAGAGAATTCTTTCCTGGGTATCTGGCTGGTGAGTCTTGCCCACATGCTCAGGGTTCAGCTGATCACCATATTTGGGGTCGGGAAGGAATTTTCCTCCAGGGCAGACTGGAAGAGGCCCTGGGGTTTTTTCGCCTTCCTCTGTAGCGTGGGGCACGGGTCACTTGCCGGAGGATTCTCTGCACCTTGAAGTCTTTAAACCATGAATTGAGGACTTCAATAGCTCAGACATAGGTGAGAGGTTTATTGCAGGGGTGGGTGGGTGAGATTCCGTGGCCCGCATTGTGCAGGAGGTCAGACTGACTAGATATCTTAATGGTCCCTTCTGACCTTAATGTCTATGAACACAAGAGTGATCCAGTGGATACATTGTACTTAGACTTTCAGAAATCCTGCGACAAGTTCTCTCAACAAAGGCTTTTAAGCAAAGTAATGTGTCATGGGATAAGAGGAAAAGTCCTCTCATGGATCGGTAACTGGTTAAAAGATCAGAAACAAAGGGCAGGAATAAATGGTCAGTTTTCAGAATGGAGAGAGATAAATAGTGGTGCCCCCAGAGGTCTGTACTGGGACACGTGCTGTTCAACATACTCATAAATGACCTGGAAAAGAGGATAAACAGTGAGGTGGCAAAATTTGCAGATGATACAAAACTACTCAAGATAGTTAAGTCCCATGCAGACTGCAAAGAGTTGCAAAGGAATCTCACAAAACTGGGTGACAAGGCAACAAAATGGCAAAATGAAATTCAATGTTGATAAATGCAAAATAATGCACATTGGAAAACATAAATCCAACTATACATATAAAATGATGGAGTCTAAATTAGCTGTTATGACTCAAGAAAGAGATCTTGGAATCATTGTGGATAGTTCTCTGAAAAATTGGCCAAAGGATGCTGTTGATGCAAACACTGCAGTTCATGGAGATTTAAGTTGAAGTGTGATTCGGTACAAAGGCCTCTGGAGGGAGGCAGGGTCCACATTCATTCTCTCAATTATTCCAGAACAAAATATACAAAGTCATTTCCCCCTACCTAGTTCCCAGCTGACAAAGTGGATCTGAAAAACAAGCTGGGTTTGGTCTGCCTCATATCATCACCACAAGAGCTGTAGTGGGAATTTAATAGACAGTTCCTACTGGTATCAGATAAGATCAGAGAATCTAGTAAAACCTTTGAAGCAATGGAACAGCCTCCAGAGGAGGTGGTAGAAGCCAATTAAATGGGATGTTTAAACCCAGAAACACAAGGGACAACACATATTGTGGAGAACAGCCCCACAATGGATAACCTACTATCATTTAGATGGTAAGCTGTTTGGGTCAGGGGCCATCTCTCACCATAAGTTAGCAAAGTGCCTAGCAAAGAAGGGCCCCAGTCTTGGTTACCAAAATACAAAAAATCATAAACTAGGTCTCCGACATCTCTAACATCTATAATTCAGTTTGCTCCTCAACAGCTATATTGCCTCTGCAGTGCTTACTTTTAAAAGCTTATTTTCTCAGTGAAGTAAATGGAAACAACAGAAAACCACCAAGGCAGCAGATCTGTTGAGTAAGAAAGGTTTATTTCTCTATCATAACTTTCCTGACTTTCTAGATCACTTTAAATTGTGACTCAGTCAAAGAGGTGATACTAGCCAGTTGTGGCCTGTTCTGAAAGACTGTATTCTGACTTGGGCATACCAGAATTTATCACCTATTAACTAGTTTGCAATGTCTTTCTTAAAACAGCAACTCAGTATACCTTTTTCCTTAAAATCTTCCGGATGTTGCCTAATGTATTCCATCAGATCTCTGTCCAGTTTAGCATGAATATAGTCTGCACGTTTACTGATATAATATCCAACACACCAGCCCACAGTGGCATACAGGACCTGACGGTGTAATCCTGCAACGTGGAAAAAAAATCCAGAGAAAACGATAAGTAATGTTATAGATATCATTGCTACACATGGAAGTTATGATTTTTCTTTCCCCCTGCTTTCAACATGTGTTTGTTAAAAATTCAGACCCACAAAAATAGCAGCCTTAGTCTCATCGGTGCTAGGGATGCATTCTGAAGGTATCAGCCTTCAACATGAAGGCTGCAACAGTCACTATGTTTAAGATTCCAACTTAAACTAAAGCCACCCAGATTGCTGAATATTTATTACAGGTGACTTCGCACAATCTGATTATTATTAGAGCCATGGTCTGGAGATTAGTAACTTGGATACAGGAAGAATCCCCAAGAAAAAGACAAATGATTACTTAGGCTCTCAGGATATTGATGGAAGTAGATGCCTAACTAGGATTAGGACAATGCTTGCTCACATGCACAGAACGGATCACCAGGAATGGGGGTGGAGGGAAGGAATTTTCCCATGTACCATCAGGGACTGGGCAGTGGAAATGACGGTGTTACACCTTCATCTGAAACCTCAGTCAAGATCGATAGACATACACCTAGATCCCTAGGAGTACAGAGAAGGAGGTCTTGACGGGCTCTGAGTCTGATCACATTCATCTTCCAGAATAAAACCAGGGGTACATGATACAGATGAGACTGTCACTATCAAGCGTTCAGGATAAGCAAAGTGGAAAATGGAAAGATTCCCATCAGAGTCCACACCTGTCAGCTGACAGTAGTTGTGGAAAAGCCCCCCACAGGAAATGGGGAGAGATAGAGGCATTATTGGTAAGAGTCTCACATCTGCTTTGTAGGCCCAGGAGCACTATCAGGGCTGGGGGTGTATGGGGATTAGATACCTCAATGAGGTATAGATTCACCCCATCACAGGCATTGGCTTCCTCAAGGCCCTGGGGGTGCTCAACCCCCCAGCTCCGCTCCAGGCCCTGCCCCAACCTGACTCATTCCTCCAAGTCCCCGCTCCAGCCCCTTCCCATTCCTGCTCCGCTCAAGGCCCCGCTCACACCCAACTCCTTCCTCCAAGTCCCCACCCCTGCCCTGCCTCTTCCCGCCCCTGCTCTGCCCCAGGCCCTGCCCCACCTCCCTTCTCCCAAGCCCCCACTCTGCCTCTTCCCACCCAGTTCTGCCCCCTCCCCTGAGCACACCCCATCCCCGCTGGGACACTCTGTACCTCGGATGAACACCCAGCACCCCCATGTTCATCCTTGTAAAATGATTGTGTTGTATCCAACGCAAAGTTTGTCATGTCGGGTGTCTTCAGAAGGCTCACGATACACTGAACACTGTCGGTATAGTGATGTTATAATAACTGTTACAGTAATGTTATAGGTTATAATTTCATGTATATAGTTATGAGGCTGAAAATGTATCCTCATGGCTTAAAATGAGCGCAGGCAAAAACTCTCCAAGAGCAGAGAGGCAGTTCACACCTGATCAGGGCAGGTATTAAACAAACCCAGCCCAGCCTCACAGGAACAAAGGACGCTAGCCTAGGCAACAAAAAAAGAATCTGTTTGAATGAGTCACCCCCCTTCCTTTGGTCAGTATGGGACTGTGATGCGGTAATGCTCACTTGACTCTGAAGAGGGCAGGGGGGGCAGAGAAGAGAGCAAAGCCAAGAGGGAAGAAAAGACATGATAAAAGGGAGAGATGTTTGCCATGCTCTTCCTCTCTCTTCCACCTACGCCTACCAGACGCCACACCAAGCGACTGAAGCACTGATCAAAGGGGAGAGAGCCTGGCTGAAGAGCAACCAGCCAGCCTGTGGTGAGAAGCATCTAAGTTTGTAAGGGCATTGAAAGTGTGAAGATCAGCTTAGAATGCATTTTGCTTTTATTTCATTTGACCAAATCCTACTTGTTACACTTTGACTTATAATCACTTAAAATGTATCTTTCTAGTTAATAAAGATGTTTGTTTATTCTACCTGAAGCAGTGCGTTTGGTTTGAGGTGTGTCAGAGTCTCCCCTTGGGATAACAAGCCTGGTACATATCAATTTCTTTGTTAAGTTGATGAACTCATATAAGCTTGCAGAGTCCAGCGGGCATAACTGGACACTACAAGATGGAGGTTCCTAGGCTTGTGTCTGTGACCAGAAATATTGGCTAATGTCATTCGGTTGCACAATCCAAGAAACAGCTTACATACCAAAGGCTGGACGTGAACAGCCCAGCATTGGGGGTTCGCAAAGCAGAGCGGGGTCAGGCTGGCTCCCAAAGTCAAGGATTGGAGTGACCTAACAGATCACCGGTCCAGATAACACCAGAGGGGAACGTCACACTCGCTCCTTCCCCTCACTGCCTCATGCAAGCTGTGGAAAAGCTGATTGCGGTGGACAGGAGGTGCTGGGATGGAGGGGAAGAGTTGGCTGCCAGTGGGTGCTAAGCACCCACTAATTTTTTTCTGTGGGTGCTCCAGCCCTGGGGCAGGGACAATCTTTTTGTTGTGCGTTTGTACCATGCTTTGCACAATGGAGCCCTGGTACACAACTGGGGGTCCTAGAACCTACCACAATAAATAAAATAATAATAAATCCCTTCTTCCACCAGGAGTTATTCACTGGTCCCTCCTAGATCACTGCCTACAGAATCCCCTTCCACACACACAATCCCCAGCAGCTCACCCCAGGCATCTTCTCCCTACTGCCTCCCAAACAGTCTCTCCTAAAGCCCAACAGACAACCTCAGTCCTGTCCCCCCCGGCCCCCGCAGCCTCCCTCCAACAGCCTCCCAGCCCCCCCTGCAGCCTCCCTCCCCCCCGCAGCCACCCTGCAACAGCCTCTCAGCCCCCCTCCTGTCCCTCCCTCCAACAGCCTCCCAGCCCCCCCACAGCCTCCCTCCTGCCCCACCCTCCAACAGCCTCTCAGCCCCCCCCCCCGCAGCCTCCCTCCTGCCCCACCCTCCAACAGCCTCTCAGGCCCCCCCCGCAGCCTCCCTCCTGCCCCACCCTCCAACAGCCTCTTAGCCCCCCCCCGCAGCCTCCCTCCTGCCCCACCCTCCAACAGCCTCTCAGGCCCCCCCCACAGCCTCCCTCCTGCCCCACCCTCCAACAGCCTCTCAGCCCCCCCCCCGCAGCCTCCCTCCTGCCCCACCCTCCAACAGCCTCTCAGCCCCACCCTCCCGCAGCCTCCCTCCTGCCCCACCCTCCAACAGCCTCTCAGGCCCCCCCGCAGCCTCCCTCCTGCCCCACCCTCCAACAGCCTCTCAGGCCCCCCCCGCAGCCTCCCTCCTGTCCCTCCCTCCAACAGCCTCTCTCACCCCCCCCGCAGCCTCCCTCCTGCCCCACCCTCCAACAGCCTCTCAGCCCCCCCCCGCAGCCTCCCTCCTGCCCCACCCTCCAACAGCCTCTCAGCCCCCCCCCCCGCAGCCTCCCTCCTGCCCCACCCTCCAACAGCCTCTCGGGCCCCCCCCGCAGCCTCCCTCCTGCCCCACCCTCCAACAGCCTCTCGGGCCCCCCCCCGCAGCCTCCCTCCTGCCCCACCCTCCAACAGCCTCTCGGGCCCCCCCCGCAGCCTCCCCTCCTGCCCCACCCTCCAACAGCCTCTCGGGCCGCCCCCCGCAGCCTCCCTCCTGCCCCACCCTCCAACAGCCTCTCGGGCCCCCCCCCCGCAGCCTCCCTCCTGCCCCACCCTCCAACAGCCTCTCGGGCCCCCCCCCGCAGCCTCCCTCCTGCCCCACCCTCCAACAGCCTCTCGGGCCCCCCCCGCAGCCTCCCTCCTGCCCCACCCTCCAACAGCCTCTCGGGCCCCCCCCGCAGCCTCCCTCCTGCCCCACCCTCCAACAGCCTCTCGGGCCCCCCCCCCGCAGCCTCCCTCCTGCCCCACCCTCCAACAGCCTCTCGGGCCCCCCCCCGCAGCCTCCCTCCTGCCCCACCCTCCAACAGCCTCTCGGGCCCCCCCCCGCAGCCTCCCTCCTGCCCCACCCTCCAACAGCCTCTCGGGCCCCCCCCGCAGCCTCCCTCCTGCCCCACCCTCCAACAGCCTCTCAGCCCCCCCCCCCCCGCAGCCTCCCTCCAACAGCCTCCCAACCCCCCCGCAGCCTCCCTTCCTCTACTAGCCTCTCAGCCCCCCCACCCCGCAGCCTCCCTCCTGCCCCTGCCGGCTCCCCAGTCCGAGTCCCAGCCCCACCGCAGGCCCTGTTCGCCAGCTCCCTCCCTCCCTCACCAGCTCGTATGACCGGGCGCCGGTTGAAGGCGTTGTCCACGAGCGCCACCGCCCAGCCCACCAGGCCCATCCACACCGAGTTCCTGTTCACGATGGGCGGCGGGGGCAGCCCCCGCGACTCGTCGGGCAAGAACACCATGGTGCCCGGACCGCGCGCAGCGACGCACCCGGCCCCGCCAGCTCAAGGACAACAGCTGGTACCGCCCCGAAAAGCGACCCGCCAGCCCGCGGCAGCCGCGACACCAAGGTTCCGCCGCGCTGACAGTCCCCCAGCCAGAGTGGCGCCCTGCACGGGGAGAGAGCGGGGTGCAGTGGAAGGGAGGGAATGGGGTTGACTAGGGTGGGTCCTCGTTTGGGGCCCCATTGCAGGGGAGGGTGTTTCTAAGTCCCCCGAGATTTACTACATGAATCTTCAAACTTCAAGTACCCAGACCAGAAACATCCTCCCCTTCCAATCGCCTTAGCGGTTCAATCCGTGTCCAGATCGCACCTGATCCCGCAGAAATGCAGCCACGGGTCGCTGGATGCCCCACCCAGCTGAAACAGAAGGGGGCGTGGACCAGACATGGTTTAGCTGAATCCCCTACTCCAAAGCATGGCGATTCCGCTAAACTACACAATAATCCCTACAGATCGTGCTCAAATTCCTGAATGTAACCCCCCTTTCCTAAGGCATCAACTTTACCTTTTCTGAGCTGTTTCTGGCCCAACAACTTTTTAATGATCAGTATTAACTGTTTGAGTCATTGGGCAGAGAATTAGTCTGTAACCCAGTGATTAGGGTACGTATCTAGGAGGCAGGAGACCCAAGGTCATCTGCTTCACTGGCTATGTATCCACAATGGAACAGCTTCATCAGAAGACTGAAGGGGCCTGTATCAGAATATCCCATAGCTCAGTAATCAGAACACTCTCCTGAAAGCTAGATCCCTGTTCAAATCCTTTCTCCTCCCCCACTCCTGCTGTGGGGAACATTGAACCTCACTCCCACATCCCAAGTGAGTGCTCTAACCACTGAGCAAGAAGTTTTAAGGCAGACACCTCCACTTCCAGCCATTTTGTGTGGCATGCAACCCATGCTTAACTCATCACAAGAAATGACTTAGGTGCTTAAACCACCTGACTTCAGAAGCAATTGCTAGTTGTTTGTGAGTTGCTAGCAGAGACAGGCACTTCCCTGCAACCTGGATGAAGGAATGGGTCTAGGGAATTAAGTGACATACAGCTCTTAACAGCATCTCCCATTGGCTAGTTTAGGCAACTCTCCACCTACCATGGTAGTTTCTGTGGTTCACATACCACTTCCCCCCACCCTGATGCATTGTTTATGGAGCCTAGGTACCCAACGCAGGCCCTATCACAATGCTAGTCCTGTGATTTTTTCCTAACACCTAGCAGGTGTTGTGACAATGAGCATCACAAAGCCTAAAGCCTTTTGGGAATCTAGCCTTAAGTGTTAAAAGCATTTCAAGACCTATATATAAAAGTGAAGTATTTATTCTCTCATCATATATTAAGATGTGTGTGCTTCTAGTGACTGCTATGATGTCCTTCCACCTTTATAAAACACACACACACACTTTTAGCGATAGCTGAAAAATATCACCTTTACTTACCACATCAGCTACTAACTTAGGTTTCCACTCTAAATAAGGGCCAGAGTCCTCTTCCAGGCTAATTGAAGAACTAGAAATTGGCTTGCACATCCCCAAATCAGGGATTAGGAGATTACAAAGTTTGGTGCAGGGGGACTCTGGTACTAAAATTAGGGTATTTTAGGGAAGGAATAATCTCCTTCCAAGTAGTGAGGACAAGCATCATGAGTTAAAAAAAAAAAAAAAAGAAAGGAGACTGTTTGGCACAGTCCATCACCTGTTTACATACTAGCATCTTCAAGGATGTGAACATATCAGGTTAGATAAACCTGTGCTCTACTACTGCAGAACCACCAGACATCATAAATGCCTTTTCTTTAGGGCAGTGTACTGGAGACATTCACATTGTGTGGATACACGTAATCCCATATCTAACATTTTAAAAATTTTCATTTTTATTTTATAAAAAGTCACGCAAAATCATGCAAAAGCAATAAAGAAACCCAATATTCCCAACAGCATGTTCCTTGTGCTTTTATTGGGATTATGACAACTCTGTCAGAAGAATTGGCTACCATTTGGTGCCTATCATTCTCCAAGATGGTTAAGGATAGCCAGAATGCTTTGACACGGTCTCCCACAGTATTCTTGTCAGCAAGTTAAGGAAGTATGGGCTGGATGAATGCACTATAAGGTGGGTAGAAAGCTGGCTAGATTGTCGGGCTCAACGGGTAGTGATCAATGGCTTCATGTCTAGTTGGCAGCCGGTGTCAAGTGGAGTGCCCCAGGGGTCGGTCCTGGGGCCGGTTTTGTTCAATATCTTCATAAATGATCTGGAGGATGGTGTGGATTGCACTCTCAGCAAATTTGCGGATGATACTAAACTAGGAGGAGTGGTAGATACACTGGAGGGCAGGGATAGGATACAGAGGGACCTAGACAAATTGGATGATTGGGCCAAAAGAAATCTGATGAGGTTCAATAAGGATAAGTGCAGGGTCCTGCACTTAGGACGGAAGAACCCAATGCACAGCTACAGACTAGGGACCGAATGGCTAGGCAGCAGTTCTGCGGAAAAGGACCTAGGGTTGACAGTGGACGAGAAGCTGGATATGAGTCAGCAGTGTGCCCTTGTTGCCAAGAAGGCCAATGGCATTTTGGGATGTATAAGTAGGGGCATAGCCAGCAGATTGAGGGACGTGATCGTTCCCCTCTATTCGACATTGGTGAGGCCTCATCTGGAGTACTGTGTCCAGTTTTGGGCCCCACACTACAAGAAGGATGTGGATAAATTGGAGAGAGTCCAGCGAAGGGCAACAAAAATGATTAGGGGTCTGGAACACATGACTTATGAGGAGAGGCTGAGGGAACTGGGATTGTTTAGTCTGCAGAAGAGAAGAATGGGGGGGTGGGGTGGTGATTTGATAGCTGCTTTCAACTACCTGAGAGGAGGTTCCAGAGAGGATGGTTCTAGACTATTCTCAGTGGTAGAAGAGGACAGGACAAGGAGTAATGGTCTCAAGTTGCAGTGGGGGAGGTTTAGGTTGGATATTAGGAAAAACTTTTTCACTAGGAGGGTGGTGAAACACTGGAATGCGTTACCTAGGGAGGTGGTAGAATCTCCTTCCTTAGAGGTTTTTAAGGTCAGGCTTGACAAAGCCCTGGCTGGGATGATTTAACTGGGAATTGGTCCTGCTTCGAGCAGGGGGTTGGACTAGATGACCTTCAGGGGTCCCTTCCAACCCTGATATTCTATGATTCTATGAAATTACTTGGGAGGCAGGGGTATAAAATGGAGAAAACCAGCGCAGCAGAAATAGACAAGTCAGATAGTGGCGCAACTAGAAGTATCTGATCTTCATGAGATTTCAGCACTGGGTTTCACAAATGTGTCTAGCAAAAAAAACTGATCAGCATACGAATTCCACACTGTATATTAGTTTTACTCCTCATTTGTACAGATGCCCCTCCAGCTCAAAAGACAGCCAGAAAGAGGTTTTAATGCAGAAATATAAAAAAGTATTTTATTTACATTTTCCACAGTACATGATTATCATTATGTTCTCTTCTATACAGCAGTGATCCCTTATTATAAGTAGCCATACTGGTTTCTGGCAAAATCACTCATTAACAAGGAAACCATACACATTCTCTTCAGAGAAGTAATCTAGACATTTTAAAGAGACAATTTTAATACAATATTCTTTTCAATTAAATTTCACAATTTATTCAGGGCAAGTGGCATCTCACCATGTGCTGTGCAATATTTCAAAGAGCTATTCTGATGAGAGGGACAATAGTTGACAGTTCAGAGATGCTGAAAAGCAGCATACATAGAGATGAACCGTACACAGTAATACTGCCTTTTCAAAATGTGCATGATCTTAGAAGACAACTCCCCCTAGTGCTGGATAATCCTCCTAAAGGATTTACTTGGAATTGGTCCCAATGCTGCTTTATTCTGCCTTCTGTCTGACAGTTACCGATTCAGTCAAGACAGAGACATACAGTTTGAGCCAAGCATATGTGATGCCTAGAGCACAGTATACAGAAGTAAGCAACAAAGGGATAAAAGGGAACTTCAGTTTCCAAGGGGTCAAAGGAAACACAATTTCACAAAAGATTTCCAGAGGCACCAGTTCAATGAGGTAGATAGTTTCCAGCCAGTTAAGCAGAGGCCCCTCTTTTCTGTGGGGGGAGGAGGGAGAAGAAAAAGAAAAAGATATTAAGTGTGATTTCAATTCAGAGTTTTCTCTTTTTTTCAGTGAACATGAGGCATGTTGCCCTTGTCAAGTCTTTGTCTTGCCCATCTGCTATACACCAAGTCACAACATGTTTTTAAACAGCATAATGAGCCAGTTAGAACTTCAGATATAGCCCCTTACTGAAATACAGTGCTTGATAGCATGTAATTAGCATAACATAAAAACTAATTTCTTTATAATCCTGGATTATAAAACTCAAATACAAGATTCCATGTTTTAGCAGCCTTGAATCTAGACCAGAAATCGCATCAGTAATTATTTCACTTCACTTTGCCCCACACCCGTCCTGCCAACATAAATGAGCCATGAGACCTTCCGCAGCCTTTGATGCACATTCACTGCATGCCAGTTCTTCCACATTCAGATAGTGGACATGTCAGGTCATTATTTCTGGCTAGATATTTCCAGATATTGTTGGATCACCATAACAGAAAGAAAGCTTTAAGATGGTTCATAATTCCTACATAAAGAGATATTTCCACTGTAAATATTCTTTAAAATATGTTTCTTACTACAGGTAAACCTTTATTTGGGGAGGGAGGTCTCAGGGGACACCATCTTTCTTGAACAAATCAAGGTTTCAGATGATCAGGAGCATCAGCCCCACGAAACTCAAATTAAGCTCTAGCAGAGGCCCTAAATTGTATAGGCACAGAACTTCAGCCCTGAAGAGCTTTGCAGAAGTGGATATTCAGTTAGTACTGTCCTGGAGGGCATACAAACCATCAGTTAACTGCAACTCAGAAAAAAATCAAGGTGCTGCTGTGCTCTGTTGAAAAAGGTTACCTCTGGCAACAAGCTCAGTTTTGTACCTCCATACTCCTACAAATGCTGCTTCATCCCATCTGCTAAG